ATTTCAATATTGCCATTGCCTTTGTTTGCACTGTACTGTACATTTTTGTCAGTGTCAATCAGTTGGGTCTCGAGGGAAGCATGAAAGATGATGCTTTTGATAATGTGCCATTTATTTGTATTCCACAGTTTTAAAATAATGATTTTGATATGAACACTTGCTGTCTTTTTCCCCCCTGATATCCTCAGTATGTTCATGATAAAATATCCCTGTTCTTTATAATCTATATCAGGGCATGAACACTTACCTCTTCGATCTTGCTTCAACATACATAAAAAATAAAATAAAAAAAATAAACAAATACAGCAAGGCGTTTTTCAGCAATACAGAATCATGGCAATGCAGGAAACTGGACAGGACAAGGAAAGGATGTTTCTTTCCAGGATGAGATTACAATACCAGGAAACAATCTGATACGGGCCCTGACAGGTGTTCAGTGGTCAAACTTTTATGTTTAGATCTCTGTATCTGTCGCTTTCTTTCACATTGTGATATAGTTGATAGTTGCATTTATTATTAACTATTAATAAAACATTTTCCCCTATATTTTTCAATAGGATGTTTAGATTCTTTATAGAAACTGGTCATATTAAATGTGTGGTCACGTGTGTGATGGCAGTTTACAATAGTTTGCATGAACACAGCTCATTCAGAACTTAGTTATTTGTTTTACTTGCCATTTTTGGGAAAATATCACGGTAATAAAGTTACATCATCAAACACAGTTCCATTCTGAGAACAGTGACCGAGAAGACACAACTGCCACAGTTGACAGTTTTCTTTTTCCTTTAACCAGTCTAAGCTGGTTTGCTGGTCTCCACATCTAGTCAGACTTGTCTGTTGGTTGGTTTTACATAGGTTTTGGTGTTTTTAAAGGGATGAGGCAGTCCTTCATTACTGAAAGAATAAAACGTTGGGATGACGGTATGTCGGTGTAATGGATCAATCGAGGAATCGATTTCCAGCAGATTCGTCAGATGGAGATATTGGGGCAATTTGTTTTTATACAGTCTATGGGTCAGATGCGAGCTATGAAGCTTTAAAACACGTTAGATGCGCAGACCGATCGGTGTATGACATCAAAGTACCGCGACTCGTGAGAGCTATAAGAGAGCTTTCGAATCGCTCTCGCGGTACTTTGAAGTCTTACACGATCGGTCTGCGCAGCGCTGCTGTAGTTTGTGAACCCTGTTACCATGTGAAATTCAGTTAAAATGACACTAAAGCTGAGCACAGCCACAGGTATTTCGGAAGCAACGATACAGTGTATTAGTTCTATCAACATTTATTAAGAACATTAAGAATGTACCAAACGTGTTTT